GTTAGTTGTAAAAATAAAGCTGTAATGGGGTGGCATGTTGAAAACTATGAGCTCTGACTTAACCCCGTTTTAAATACCCAACTCTTTTTTAGCCTCGCGTGACTGCACTTAAGAGAAAAACTAGGTGTACAAAAAACTTCCATTTCTAACATGAAACAAAGCTCTTTAAGGATAATTTGTGATCGAAATATCAAAACACAAGCCTTATAAGTGATTTAACAACAAAAAATGGTAATAAAGCATTGTTTATACTGAGGAATCACCCGCACTCTTTTGTGGCCGAGAACTGGAGCCGCTGGCCGATAACTGGGCCCACGAACGAAGCCTCCATTTTTGTTATTACTCGGGAGAAAGAGCGTTGAGCAGTTGACAGCTCTACATATGTAAACTGAATGCTGAAGCTGGTTGTGCGTGAAATTTTAAGTCCTTACGCCTATTCCAAGGTAAGAAATGCAAGTTTACGTTTTTTGTGGCCGAGAACTGGGCCCCATACTGTATTGCTTAAAAAAACAAAACAATTTATTACGTAAGCTTATTAATTAACTTTATATATCGTACAACTGCATTGGTTGGTTTTGTAAAAGAAAAGTTAAAACCAAATCGGAAGTATCTATGTGCACTTGCGGCCTACATAAGCTTTAAATTCTGTCTAAATTTCTCTCTTTTTACATCACTGTTGATCTTTATCAAGTTACATGTAAATAAACACAAGCGCGCGCGCGCTGTGCCAAACGAAGGCTGCAATGTATAGATCTGATGTTAAAAAAACCCAATGCATGCAAACATACAAACAAATTCGTGTTTACAGCGAAATATAAATGCATTCTTGAGTTAACCCCAGTATCATCAAATAATCAGATAAATCGTGCTGGAATTGGTTCAGACATTCGTCAACAAAGCAAGAAGACGCTGACAGCTGCAGTTCTTCAAACAACCAAATGCAACGATTAACAGCACCCTGGTCTAAAGTATTGTTTTAGATATATATACAAAGACAAAAGAAAGGAAAAGAGAGCATTCTAATCGTCAAACCTTTCACTAATGATCTTCTAAGACGCCTTCTATTCAGGTTTTCGCAGTCGAGCGAATATCACGATGTTTTCACTTCACCTTCCGGGTTTTTTCAGTCCCAGGTTCTTCTCAATGCAGAAGACTGGGACTGAACACGGTCATTTTTGCATAAGTTTTCAACGCCTGGCGATTTTCTGCAAAGTGGACTTGATTGCGGTTTTGCTAAAATTTGTGGTCTTTTTTTATTATTCAGAATGGTCGCGGAGTCTGCAGTGGTTATTGCATCTAGCTTATATATATTTTGCAGCTTTTTTGAGTTGAAACAAAGCGCTGGCTTCATTTTGTTCCATGGCATCTGTAAGTATATCGACTCGCTGCTGAACTGGCTACATTTGTAGCGCTTGGTGCAAAAGCAAATATCTGAAATTTGCTCTTGATTGCTATTTTTTCAGTGTTTTTATTAGCTTGTATTCCCTCGATGAAGTGGGATGTAGGGATAAAGAAATGGTTTCATCTAAGGTGAGTGCCAGTTTTGAGTATAACAACAAGTATATATCGGACTTTGATCCGAGGTTAATCTTGGCGGGTCAGTCTTATGATTTACGTAGGATAAGGCGGCAAACCCAACTAGCAAAACTCTGCGTTGTACTTTTGCTGTACTATGAGTTAATTTTCTTTAAATGGAATTGCAATGCTTAGGAACTGAATGTTGATCATCTACTCATTTAATTTGATGCAAGCCTGATTTGTATGACTTTGTGTACATCAAACCATTTGTAGGCCATTTGCTGGAGATGGTGTGGAAATTGGTTCACTGCTAGTTCCCATGGTACTGACAAGTCAAATGGCATTCATTGAGAGATGGGAGAGTAAATACCTTAAAGTAACAGGTATTCACTAGTAGAGATGTAGCTTAAGTACTAAGCGAACTCATTTACAAGCCAAGCCAGTATTTTTGGCCTAAGTACACCTTCAAGGTTTCTCCAAGTCTTTGTATTCTAGTAAAATTTCAGGTGGCTCCAAGCTCTTCCTCAGCTTTTGAAATTAGCTGCAGTGTTTAGCAGCACTTAGCTACATGTATATCTAATTGCCCAACAGAGTCACACAATATGTGAGGCTGATAAGGTTTAGTTGACTAAACAATAATTATTGATTTATCATCTGGTGATGCACACAGAAAGTTTGTGGAGCACAAAATTATAAGCAATTGAAAGTTGCTCATAGTCATATATAGCACATATACTTATTAAGATTTAATAGCCATAGTAAAATTGGTTTATACATGTACATGTAGTTTTAATTAGTTTACTCTATAGTGACATAAGCTGTCAGAGAAAAGCAGGCAATTGTGAATGGTATTAAGACAGATTCCGCTCAAAGTTCAAGCAATAAGTACAAAAGTTATTTACTAAAAATCTACTCATAGCACCATAACGTTTAGAATACAATTGAAAACAACTCACTTTAGTTCATTTCTCTAAGTAACGCCATGATTAAATTCTCAAGCATTCTCGTAAAAGTTCATATCAAACCTAGAAATGATGCTTAATGCTTGTGTTATTGTGTTTTTAACTAATGCGAAACCTCTATTTTAATTGAAATATGGATAACTTCAAGTTCAATTCTCTCTCACAGAGTCAGCTTGAGAGCTAAAGTCTCGATAAGTTTTTCTTAACCGTGTTCAAAATATTACCATGCCATGAGGTTTTTTTTGGTAACTGTATTTTTTCCATTATTGCTCAAATGTTCTGCGGAAATCATCTTACTTATCATGAGTTCAAGCTATAGTACTTATCATACACTTAAGGCTGGTTTTCATCAGCAATGGAGTCAGAGTTGAAGTCATAATCGGAAGCAAAGCGTCATATGATCCTACTGAAAATCAATTTGATGAGGTCAAAATAGTTTTAAATAGTCTAATATTCTGCTTGTGACTTGGTCGCTCATGATCCAGTGAAAACTAGATTGCCAGAGACACAACCAGAAACCTAGGAATAAACCAATCACAATGCTTGATTCCAGATATTGTGATTGGTTGGTTGTTCCACCTCTGTTTCTAACTCTGACAATCTAGTTTTCATTGGATCATAAGCAATGCAGTCCTAAGCGGAACTAGAAAAAATGAATTCAAAACGTTAACATTCTGATTCTTCTGCTTCAGATTCTGTTGTGCTTGTAACTCCACTTACAACTCCATTTTTTTATTTTTTGTAGGTTGTAAACATTTTTCACGACTGCCACTCTCACGACTTGTTAGTGAAAACCTCAACCTTAACTGTTAACTGTACAAAGTGTTCCATTTCTCTCCTTTTGTTCATTTAGAGGTGGAGAGGTCTTATCTTTTGGCTACCCAGTTGATGAGCATGCTCACTGTCTCCATGCTGCTGATTGTAAATCATGAGAAACCTCTGATTTCGTCATTCTTCTTTTTTGTGGTGACAACCTGCATTGCAGCCACAATAAATGTTCAATGGGGTGTGTACAGTGTAATAATGGTAACAGGACTGACAGGAGTCCAATTCAGTCTGAGTGATTTAACAAAATCAGATGACCACATAGCAGGAGTGCAATTTGTTTAGTCATGAGTAAGGTTACAGGCAGAATTGGAGGACACAAAGTCCTGTTAAAAAATTCGATGACCACATGTACAGTTGACATGTACAAATGATTTTAAAAGGTCTTAACAAAAGTTAAAAATTTCAACTGTTGAGTGTGTTTTGGCCCTGGTGCACAGGAAAAAGATATTCATTACAAGTGCATCTGTCCAAGAAATAGCATGTGGAAAATGACATTTTCTGTGCAATTAAACTATATGTCCAGTTACAAGTATTGAGCTAAAATTGGGCCAATCAGATTTATGAATTTTGTTAATGTAGCTTTGATTCTTATGATAATGTGTTGTGCCAGAAAATGTCCAATGATACTCCTTCCAGTAAAGTTTTTTTCAGTTTGAACCCTCCAGTCCTCCAGAAATTCAATTTTTGCTTTATACTTTACTATAAGAATTTTGGCTTGTGAAACCCCATTTCCCCTCAGAATTTCTGTTAAACATCATTGGGTGGGTATGGATATTTTCTGGAACCACACAATCACAAAATATAATTTAGCAGCTCTTGGTAATTAAGCATGATATTAACCCAGTCTCTGAATTTTTTTGAAAAATCCCAGTGTCTAAAGCTAAAAAGCATATGTCCGCAAACACAAACTTGATCAACAGCTGTTTTGTTCTATTTGAAGAAATATTTTTCCAATAGAATCAAACTAAAATTGGTTTCAAAATTGGGTAGTTTGAGAAGTCAGGGGTAAAAGAATTACAGTGTTCAACTGAGCGAAGAAAAATGACTTTTGGTTTGAGTTATTGGGAGGTTTAAAAAATCAAGGGTTTGAGAAATCAGGATTCTGAGGTACATGTATTGTCAACTGCTTATCTGAACAACCAGGCCCTGGCTTAAAGCTTGTTAAGGGACTTTACAGTATAAGTTAGGGCTTTCCACTCTACACTGTCTTGTGTTCATTTCATTTTTTTTGTTGTTACATTTAGATGTAGATATCATGCGAGTGTCAGTATGTATATGCCTGTTCTTTGTTATTCTGTTTGCTGTTTTACGATGGATACCGAGATCTTTTACTATTGGGGAAGCCATGGTTATTTCAGAGACAATAGTTCTGCTGTCAGTTGATTCTTATACAAACCTTGGATTGAAGGTAAACTGCACTGATCAAAATATAAATTAAAAGTTGTTTGATACTCAAAGTTGTCAAAAGTAGCCACCATCTTCTCTATATGCACAGACTACTCTTAACTGGACTACTCAATAGACATCTGATTCTTGGCCAATATCGAGCCATCTTGACCTGCCGCTTGGTCAATAACCCATATGTATCAACTTCCGCCGCCCTCCACCCCCACCTTCTTGGTTAGTTAGCTGCCATTCATGGTGCAGTGGAACCCCATTAATGCGGTCACCAACAGGCCATGAATATTTGGCCAATTTTATTTACGGGGCAGCCGTATTAACAGGGTTGGGTCAAATTTTAGGATTGGCCTAAATTGAGTGACTTCCTAACAGATATATTACAATTGCAACTTTTCTTTAATAAGCATCTACAGAATGATATAATTCATAAATGAACCTTCTATCATTACATACAATATTAACAGTGGAAAGATGAACATATCAACTAGTTTGAGTGAATTTTTAAAGGATTATACAGATTTGGGATTTCAGAACGTGGCCATTGGCCGTATTAACGAGGTGGCCGTATTAAAGAGGTGGCCGTAAGGCGAGGGTCCACTGTACTGTGTTAGTACCTCTTCTCTTTCTACATATAGAGTATTTTATGTTGGTCTCTGTATAGGTATGAATAAGTTTCACGACTTGCTCAGCAACATTATTTATTTTTATAAATAATTACTAATATTACATGTAAGTACACAGACCTGTATGAA